CACAAGAGAGAGAGAGGTCAGAGAGAGATGAGGAAAAAGAATGCAAAAAAAAAAAAATGTTTTATATTGATACAATAAGTGCACAACAATAAATTTGTGTGTTTTTTCGTGTTTTCAAAATCTTCAATAATACCCAGAAAAACAAACCTGACTTGTTTTTTCTGTTTTTGTATTCCAAATCTCATTTTTTTTCGAAAATTTTGAGAACAAAAATGCTAAACAATCAGGTTTGAATGTTTTAAAAATTTTTAGAACAAAAAACTGTTTTTTACAGATGCTAACACAAAAATATGACCTAAAATTTTGGGTCTTTTTATAATGTATAATTAGTAGGTAAGTATAAGTAATTTGCGAATTTGTCTTATTTGAAGAATAGTCTACGATTGTGTGCCTTTTAATGGAGAATTAGGATCTTTTGTGTGAAGAAAAAGGACCATATGACTTGTAGAATCATCCTTCGAATAGAGCAAATATTGAAGGTAACAATGGTATTAGACCATCATCGTTATGTAGTATCACCATTTACTAGAAAAATAACAAACAAGTAAGTGGATCCCACCCAATTTAGTAATCACCCATCTATGAAGGTGATATTCATTTTATCCATTTTATCATTCATTATTGGACGGTGACAACATGTAATATTGATAATATGGTGTCACCGTTATATTTAATATTTACTCTTCAAAATGACCTCAAAAAATTGAATTTGCTTTTACGACGACGTGCTTCACACTTCCTTTTACGTAAGTGTAATTGCAAAAGTAGTGGAAATAATAATTTTCTCGGCATAAATCATTTTTTAGTAATTTATGTGAAATTTATTATATATAAGTGAATTGTTCACGGTGTACAATTTATAATGTCACAATATAAAAATTTCAAAGACAATATAGTAAACGAGATTTGTATTCAACAAAGAAGTGTGTGAATAATCAAAAAAAAAAAAGCTCATTGGTGGGAATCCCATAGACCAAGAATAAATCAATAACATTTCCACGAGATTTAATAGACTTGCAATTCCCTCCTTAATTGCCTTCAATTGCAGGGCTTCCAACATTAGTTGAGGTGCGCGGTAGTTAGAAACATTCTTGATCATTGAATAAAAAAAAAAAAAGATAAGTGTACACATTTACATACTGAAATTATATTTTGATTTTTGAGATGCAATGAAATTGTTCATTAATAAAAAGAGATGAGAAAAAAACAATTCTCCCCCCCCCCCCCCAAAAAAAAAAAAATTGACTCTCACATTTTTTAATTGTAATCTTTTATTTAGTTGGGTGGTCGAGGAATGTATGTGCACGATCTCTAATATATTAAATACAGCTTTGTTCTGAGGATGGACACACATATGGGTGTCTATGGATCGGGTTATCTACGGATTTCGTTATTTGGTACAAAAAAATAGGTTCAAAATTCGATAGGGTCAATAGTTGGCCTGTCCGAGCCCGATCCCAATATTCTTAAAAAGAGGGCTTGAGTTTGCACCCAAACCTTATTATTCAACCTGAAGCCTGGCCCAAGAGCCCGTCTGCGAAGCCTAACCCACCCACTTAGCCCGTCCACCACCCTTTATTTGCAATATACTTGTAGACCATTAAATTTGAAATTTTGAAATAAGTCTTCCAATGTTAGAATTTTAAGTTTTAAAAATTTAGATACTATAAATAATGTATTATTTTATTTTTCATGTATTAAACATACAAGTTTTAAACGATAGAGTAATGCAAATGATAAATAAGTGAGTATGTGTCAACCTAATTGGGAAGTATTTATTTTATTGAATATAGTTTATCCCATAATTAAAAATAAAAATAATTTATTATTTTATTTTTATTTATTTTGACTGTATTTTTTATTCAAAAATATAATTTACACAAATATTCATTATTTTTAAATGAAGTTGTTTATAAAAAAAACTTGCAAGCAGGTCTGCCTAATAGGTTTGTGTGTTGCATTGCGGGTAGCCTACCCCTACCTGAAGTCCGACACGGCCTGTTGATAACACACTTAGATAAAGGTCTCATCCTACACCAGCTAGACCCGATCCAAAATTATTTTTACAAGCCTAACCCGACCCGAGCTATGCACACCCCTAGACATTAGGGGTGTCAATCGTGTCGGGTTAAACAGGTGACGGGTGAAAAACGTATAAACTCATATATGACACGTTTAATAAACGAGTAAAAAATTTTAACATGAACACGACCCGTTTAATAAATAGGTAACACGACACGACTCGTTTAATCAGTTTAATTTTTAAAAAATTATATCAACAAATTTTAATATTTTTTTTTACTACTAATTGCACTTATCTCAAAAAAGAGGAATTTTAAATCAAATCTCATAAAAATAAGACTTGAAGACTTTAAAAAAAAAAGTAAGAGGCTATTGTCTTTTATAGGCAACTCACCCTCCCCATTTTTCAATGTGGGATAAAAACAAAAAATATTGGTTTGTTTTTATCTTTGAAGTGCTCTACAACTCCTCTCATTTGTCTTTGAAAATAAGACTTGAAAGATTTAAAAATAAAAACAAGAGGCCATTGTCTTTTATAGGCAACTCAACTCTCTCTATCTCTTCTCATTTTCTAATGTGGGACAAAAACAAAAAACATTTGTTTGTCTTTGCTTTTGAAGTGTTTTCAAACTTTTCTCTTTTGTCTTTGAACTACTACTTTACTTCTTTTTTTATTGATTTATTTACTTCTTTTTTTTTGTTAATTTTTTAAAATAATTATTAATTTATTATTATATTAATTTTATTTAAACGGGTAAACATATGATAAACGGTTTGACAGGTCTCACTCGAACATGACCCGTTTATTAAACGTGTTTGACATGTCAATCCGTTTATCATCTAAATCTGTTAAGACCTTACCCAAATTCGTTTAATTCATATCGAATAATCATATCATGTCAAATTTTGACAACCTACTAGACACCGAACATAACAGGGCTCTGTTGACTGGGTTACGAAGAAGTAAGAACGCCCTTAAGCATGACCCAGCTTCAAAGTCCAACTCATCGTACACCCAACTTGGGGTTAAAAACGACATTTAGGTACCCTCCAGGGACAATTCCGTCAAACAAATGTCTCGTCAATTGCCTTATTACATGCACCGTCAGATCTGAACCAGTCAGAGACCAACGGTGGGATTGAAGTATGAGAGCGGCTCCCAAAATTTCAAATCACCTTCTCATCCCGCTCTCATATCAGATTCACAGACAGACCCAGACAGGAGAGAGAGAGAGAGAGAGAGGGAGTAGATCTAGAGACAACAGTACTGGTGTATGTGATTCTCTCTCTCATCGTCGCTTGAAAATGTCGAGTCGCCAAGAGAAAGAGAAAGGTGTTAATGTGCAGGTTCTTCTTCGTTGCAGGTACTGCTCTCTCTCTCTCTCTCTCTCTATTTATCTATGCACATATGCCTATATATATGTATGCATCCATCAACGTGTGTATAGATTCATGTGTAATGTGAAAATGGTTAGGAGCTATGGTTTCTATTTTGTTTTTTTCAGGTAAATTTGTTGCAAATTATTCAATTTTCTTATGTTTACATTCTTTTTCTTTTCTTCCAACAACAATTTCTAGACCATTTAGCGAAGAAGAGTTACGGAACAATGCACCGCAAGTAGTGACCTGCAATGATTACCAGAGAGAAGTTGCGGTTTCTCAAAATATTGCTGGGAAGCATATTGATAGAATTTTTACATTTGACAAGGTAATTGGCCAAAAAATGGTTATAATTTTTGTACAGTTTAATTAATTTACAGTGAAAATGACGTTACATTTGATATGCATTGGTTTACTGTTCACACATAAACTTGATTTGATGTGTGGTTGATATTTCTTCGTTTTTGTGCCCTCGAAAATTTTACTCATGATAAGATTTTCTTTTATGGGATAATTGTAAAATGTCATTGTGTGTACTGATTAGTTGAGAATTTTGGGTTGTAAATTAGAACGCATTTTGATTGGTTGCAAAACTACACACACATTTGGTGGGCTAAACTGGGGTTGTGAACTGTGGAGCAAAAGATGTTACTGAAGTGTCATAGAAATTGTTATAAAAACAAGATAAAACTGTTAAAGTAAAAGTACTGAAAAACCCTAAATTAGATAATTAACTTTTAAAGGTATCCCATATGGTGGTGGATTGGGAATTGTGATAGTTAGATGCTTATTTTTTTCCTGGAATAGTTTGGACAACAGATGTAAAAATGGTCTTTGCTGATGAAAACGTTTGTCTTTGATGTCTCATGGTACTGGTCTTGCCAATCCTTTCTCAGCCCAGCACATGAATGTAATAGCTCTTGCCAACATAATCTACTAAAATTTGTTCCTTACTGTCAGTTAATGTTATAGGGTACTTGAAAATGTTACCAAACTAGAAGTTCTCCCTTGATTTGTTCAAAGTTATAGATATTCTTTGTGTATGGTTGTTTAGATTTCCAATTGGAGAGTCCCCGAACTAATATCACAGATCCCCCAGAAAGGGCAGATAATTGTGTTTAACACAGTAGTTCTGAAACAGACAGTGATTTTAGGTCAATGTGAAATCTCATATATCATAACGGCCATACTCTGGCGCCATACTATGTATTAGATGATGATACTTAACTGACCTGCTAATATTCTTCCTTGTAGTGGATTAAAGTAATTGTTTTCAAAAGTCAACCACTTTATGGTTTTGAATAAGGCAATGGCAACAGGGATTTACATGTGATTTGGGTTATCTGTGTGTGATGCCCAACTATTAGGATTTCTTTGATGCGTTGAGTTTAATCTTTGTTATATACAGGTTTTTGGTCCTTCAGCTCATCAAAGGGATCTTTATGATCAAGCAGTTATTCCAATTGTCAATGAAGTGTTGGAGGGCTTTAATTGTACCATTTTTGCATATGGACAAACTGGCACGGGAAAAACATACACCATGGAAGGTGAATGTAAAAGGTCAAAGGTATATATAGGATACTTGTTATTTTCCTATTAGAGTTTAGTTCAGCTCTTTTTTTTCCTCATTTCACATATGATTTTCTCTTTTCTTTGACAGAGTGGGCCTAATGGAGAGTTACCTCCAGAAGCAGGTGTCATACCCAGAGCTGTGAAGCAAATTTTTGACACATTGGAGAGTCAAAATGCAGAATATAGTGTGAAGGTCACATTTTTGGAATTGTATAACGAGGAAATTACCGATTTGCTTGCCCCTGAAGAAATATCTAGAGTTGCTTTGGAGGATAAACAGAAAAAACAGTTGCCCCTCATGGAAGATGGAAAAGGAGGAGTTCTTGTGAGAGGATTAGAGGAGGAAATTGTAGCAAGTTCGAGTGAGATTTTTAATTTAATTGAAAGGGGGTCTGCAAAACGTCGTACTGCAGAAACTCTACTAAACAAACAATCAAGGTTAAAATTTTGCCACTACTTCTTATATTTTGTCAAATTAGTATTTCCTTATTTGCTAAATGATTGTTGTCTTTCAGTCGGTCACATTCTCTTTTCTCCATCACTATACACATCAAAGAAGCAACTCCAGAAGGTGAAGAACTTATCAAATGTGGGAAGCTCAATTTAGTTGATTTAGCTGGTTCTGAAAATATTTCTCGTTCTGGTGCTAGAGAGGTAATTGTTCACTTAAATGTGCCTACAAAACTTGTGGATGTTGTTAAAACTTAAAAAGGGTCTTTGGGTATGTAGTAAGTTTCTTTCATTTTTCATTTGGTTTGGAATGTTTCTTCTGGTTGAACTTGGTTATGTTTTTTCTCTTATCTCTTTCCTTTTTATTATGTTTATTTTAAAAATTTCAGGGTCGTGCAAGAGAAGCTGGAGAGATAAACAAAAGTTTGCTGACATTAGGACGAGTAATCAATGCCCTTGTGGAGCATCTTGGGCATGTTCCGTACAGGTTGAACTTTTCCTAGGTTGATTAGGAATTTTCTTGGTTTTTTCAGTTATATGGATTCCTTAATCAGTTTCTAATTACAGTGCTTACTTGGATTCAGGGATAGTAAGTTGACTCGTTTACTTCGTGATTCCTTGGGGGGAAGAACCAAGACATGCATTATTGCCACTGTATCACCTGCAGTTCATTGTCTTGAGGAGACTTTGAGCACGCTGGATTATGCCCATAGAGCAAAAAATATAAAGAATAAGCCTGAGGTTTGTTCTTGCTTTATATAGTCAAATGTCACATTATATGTTATCTAAGTTCTTTTGGCAAATCTAATTTAATTCTATAAATCTGTCTATAACTAAGGGTGTGGCATGATTTCATTATATTGTATGAGTCAAGTATCTCATTAATTGAATGAAGGAATAACATGCGACATATATGAAGATTCATTTGTCTTGATTTGATAGTGTTCTACATTTGCACATACTTATTAGATTTAAAATGTTAATTCATTGACGGTAATGAAACACAGGATGTACTATGTAGTGTCTTCTATCAATTTTATCGTTGGGTATACGAAACTACGTGAAGGATATATGTGCATATATACTCTCTCACGTTTCTAACTCACAAATTTATAAACTTCATTGTTATGCTCAGCATGAATTGTATCTAAATAATGGAAACAAAAATATTGAATTGTCATGAAGGGTGCATAAAATTTATTAAGTTGCCAAATTGTTGCAAGCAACTTTGTGGATGGTTGTGCTTTTGGTCGTCTTAGTTTCACATTTAACCCATTTATGAACAGTTATGTTTGATGGGTTCACTAAATTTTTTTCACTTTTTGTTGGCATGGATTACTTTAGTTTTATTCAGTCCCTTCAAAATATGAATCTTTGTTATGACTACTTGCAGGTGAACCAGAAAATGATGAAATCAACTCTTATCAAGGATCTTTATGGTGAAATTGAACGGCTCAAGGCAGGTAAAATATACAGCTATGCCATTGCTGTTTATAGATATATGATTAGAGGCAATTGATCATTATAGCTACGCATCTTGTTTGATTGACCTGTATTTGTTGGTAAAATTATGTGTTGTCCAGAGGTTTATGCTGCTCGTGAGAAAGTTGGGGTCTATATACCAAAGGAACGATATTATCAGGAGGAGAGTGAAAGGAAGGTACTGTTATGAATCTGTATGCAATTTTTTGATTTTTAGTGAGACTTTTTTAGCTATTTTTTTCTGGACTGCAATGTTTATGGACAATGAAAAAATATAAGGCCATATGGGGAGGTGCTAATCTTCATATAATAGACCATTACAGACGCTGTCGTATACATGTATTATCTCATGTTCATTTGAAGTTTATTCATTTAATTTTCCCATCTTGTATCATTTTTTTCATGTTTAGGCAATGGCAGATCAGATTGAACAAATGGGTGTCACTATAGAAACGCACCAGAAGGTCGCCTTTTATTATGCTGTTTTTCAAGTGGTTGGAATCAATCCTTCGAATCTGTTTTGTTGAAATTATTCATACTTTCCACGTATTGGTTTTTCATAAACAGCAAATTGAGGATTTGCAAGAGAAGTACGATGCTCAAGTTCAACAATGCGCTGATTTGAGCAGCAAACTTGATACTACACAGGTGAATTGCAGTTCCAATGTCTAAATATGGTTTTGGATTTTATTCATAGGTTCTTATTTCGGAAAATTTTGCAGAAAAACTTGAATCAAACTTATAAATTGCTAGCCAATACCGAGGAAGAACTGAAGAGATGCAAGTATGCACTCAAGGAGCGAGATTTTGTGATATCTGAACAAAAAAAAGCTGGTATATTCAAGTAGATTTGGAATTGAGATTTTATATTTTCAGCATATCTCACTCTTGTTGAATATTTGTTACAGAAAATGCATTGGCCCATCAGGCATGTGTTTTACGGTCTGACTTGGAGAAATCTCTTCAGGACAATGCTTCACTATTTCTGAAAATTGGTATGTAGTGTCATTCGCAATCTGCTAATTTTCGTGATTTCTAACAGAAAAGTTTCTGACTTTTTTCTGATATGTTGTCTCGTAGCTAGAGAGGACAAGCTGAATGCTGATAACAGGTCAGTTGTGAACAATTTCCAAGCTGATCTTGTGCGGCAACTTGGTTCCCTTTGCAACACATTGGCCACGTCCGTGTCGCAGCAAAGTGAACATATCCAGGCTATTGAGAATTTATGTCAGTCTTTTCTTAACATACATGATAAGGTATTTGGTTATCTTCCGGCAGTTGATTTTCTTTCTCATCCTTTATTTTCATTCTTTGTATTTTAATTTGCTGAGATATAAGTCAATTTGATAAAGTCCTGAATTAGGATGTTTGATTGTTTCATGTGCAGCCAATGTCCCAGTTTTGCTTACTTAATAACATGTTTTTATATTTAATTCTGCTTACAGGCTGTAATTGATTTAAAGAAGAAAGTAACTGCTTCAAGGGCCCTGTATATTTCTCACATTGAAGCTGTGCAGAATGTAGTGCGTTTGCATAAAGCAAGCTCTAATGCTTCCCTAGAGGAGATTTCAACTTTGGTTTCTTCTAATGCGCATTCTATTGAAGAAGTAAGAAGCTACAATAGATGCTTCTTTGTCATCTTTATGAGTCAAAGCTTTTTATAGTGTTGCCTTAGTTCTTTTACATATTTGTTTTCACATTTTTTCTTTTTGGATTAGTTTTTAGCTGCAGAGACTGTTGAAGCAAATTCGATATATGATGATCTTCATAACACTCTATCAACTCACCAAGGAGAAATGGCGTTTTTTGCTAGAGAGCTTCGTCAGGTTTGTATATTGCTTGAATTTAGCTCTTGTCAACAGATTAGTTGCTTGTTGTAGGATTTAGTGTTGCTTCTTGACATACTTAGCCATGATTTAACACTCACATCATTGAAAATTCTTGAATTTCTAGAATAGTTTTTATGGAAGTTATTGTAGCTTATTTTTATAAGATATTTAACTCTGACAAAAAAATGAACTATACAGTCATTATGTTTGTCATCATACGTCAATTTTAGTATTTAAGGGTTTCTTCTGCCTTTTTTCGCCCCCCTTTAAACTGCATATGGCCATGCTAATTTATTTATCTCATTAAAATTTCGGTTTTGAATTTCACAGAGGTTCAATGATAGTGTTGAGCATACAGAGAGTATCTCTAAGTTCATCAATGGATTTTTAGACAAGCTTATTCAAGAATCGAAAAGGCTTGAAAGTCATGCAACTCAAGTTGATAAGATTCAGATGAACGGTATTGCTGAATTTCAGAAGGCCTACGAGGTAATATTTCATATTCTTAAAGGCAAAAACTTTTATCTGGGATGTGAGACATATGAAGCTTAATCTGTGCAGGAACAGTCAAAATCCGATGCAGAGAAGCTTATTGCTGATATGACTACTTTGGTCTTCAATCACATCCATCGTCAAAAAGAGCTGGTTTGTTGTCTTTTTTTAATGCCTTCTTTACCATGTTGCTTTTTTGTAGTAGATTAATAGTTGAGCTGACAGGTGGATGCAAGACTTGTTGGTCTTAGAGAAACAGTTATTGGAAATAAGACATTTTTAGATGGGCATGTTTCCTCGATGGAGGGTATTACAACAGATGCAAAGCGAAAGTGGCAGGAGTTCTCTATGCAAACACAGAACGATGCTAAAGACAGTGCTGATTTCTCTGCTGCCAAACATTGTCGTATGGAGTTGCTACTACAGAAATGGTAAGTGATTTAGTCATTCTTGCCTTTTATTTTGAGTGAATCCTTATATTTAATGTTTTGGATTATGAATCGCCTTCTTTTGCAGTATATAATATTATTTTTTCAATTCTAAATTTCTTTGTTATGTTTTCTTTGTTTGTTGTTGTTTCTTTTTTGTCTTATTTTTCCAGCGTAAGCACTGCTGAAATGGCTTCCAAGAGACTGCAAAAGACACATGAGTCCATTAAGGAAATAGGCAGTCAACATGTAGCAACAATGATCTCGCTTGTCAGGTCAGCTTTGATGTGCTTTCTTAGCTGAGTAGTGGAATAGGGAACATTCCATTGTTAATTGGATTTTTACAGTTATGCATTTTCACCTGAGTATTAAATCTGAACTTGCTTTTGCCATCTAATTGAAACTGTTGCAGACATGTTTTGTGGAAGATATGGTTATTTGTTATGCCATTTTATTAGTTATACACCACGATGTTATGGTTCTTGTGTAGGCTATGCTAAATTTTGGTCAAAAAATATCATCCTTTTATGTGTGTTGAAGTACACTCACTATTTGTACCAGTAGAACTCGACACAAATTTATCATACCACTTTTTAATGTTTGAATTATTTGTTACAGGAATGCATCTGATAGTAATGAGGAACAGGATACTGAGATTAGTAACACAAGGGCTGTTGCCGAAGAAGATGTAGTAAAGAACAGTGATGACATCATTCAGTACTTTGGTGGTAAATGCTGCTCAGTTCTTTGTGGAATTCTATATGAATTTTTTTGATCTACGTTGGGATATGTGATGCACTTCATGTGTTTGATCCCATATCATGTACAAGGAATTACGTGTGGATGTTCATTCTGTTAGTTATGTAGCTGTTCGACGTGTGAAACCTTAGACATATTTTCTCCTGTTTCTGTTTTTTTGGAAGTCATCGTAGTGCAGCTCCCAAAAAAAGAGAGGAAGATATGCTAATGCCTACTCTAAACTGTTGAACCTTCTAGCCTTGTGGAAAATCATAAAGTGAACAAAGTTCCAAGGCTTCTAGCAAATGTGGGTTCCCATTGCTCATGGAGTACTAGTCTTTGTTTTAATTATATGGTTGTGGATTGGGAGCTGCTGCTTTCACAAAATCTTCTAGTCTGGGAGTTTCTTATGTTTGTGTGTTTGCAAAAGTACTAGATTTTGCACAAACTTGAATGCATAGATCAATCTACTGTTTTCGAAATTTGGAAGAACAAAAGGTATAGTACATTATAGATAACAATAATAGCCTGATATTCCTGCCTAAGCCAGATTGCAGATGAAACTCCAAACTGGTCTTTCCTTTTTTGCAGTTCTTTTTTTCAGCATTGTCATGAATGTAGTTGCAATGTTATAGCTGTCTAGAACAGCATCAGATATTGTTTGACATGGGCCACATGGCTGTCAACTGGTATTTTGACTTTTGACAAACAACTTTTCAGTAAGAGGGGTCTGGATTATCTTCTTGTTCATCATAATGTGCATGTAATTAGTACGGATTTGTTTTGTGGATGTGATTTGCATAGTACTGTTATGTTTTTTTCTATGATTTTTGGTGGTTCTTTTGGATACTTAATGCAGATATGTTGGAGCAAGACCGAGGATCTATATCTGGAATTTTGTCAGTTGTCAAAGCTCATACAAACACTCTTGAGGTTCTCCGGGAGGATCACTCCGCGCAGTCTGCTTCAATAGAACAGAAGGCTCTTGATATTTTCCAGCACAAATACATGGTATGTTAATTTAGCATCTAAGTCGACATAATTTGGGAAGATTGTTAGTTTCATGGATATAGACTCGGGAGTTGCCATTTGAACCTGAATTATTCCACTTCAAAAAACATTGGTTTTAGAATTTTCTGGCTGTTCAATTCTTAATGGAGAATTTCCTTGGAGGAATTTTATAAAGAAACTCTTAAAAATCATGCTGTTTGCCTCGTATTCATGTAGTGTGAATATAAGGCTTACAAGAAAACTTTAATGTTTCTGGGCTAGATTTGTAGACTATGCACAAGCTTAGAAAGTCAGAATCATAGGATTTTTTACCATCTGATAATACCTTTTGTTACATTTGGTAGAATAAGAAAGAGATCTACAAAGAAATTTTCAAATTGTGTCCTTAAACCCTGCCATCCACAACCCTTCTTTTTTGGGTATTCTTTAAAGACAGGGAGATCTTTGGTTATTCCAACATCATTGACATAAAATATGCTGTACTGTGCTGCTTGAGTAAGCACCATGATGCATTTGTAACTTTCATGTTCTAACATGGGGTTATGCAGATTGGTGAACTGGAAACAGTTGGAGCTATTTGATATGGCCAACTGAAACTGTACAAGTTAAATAGTGCAGAGAGACTTGCCCGGTTTGAGTTTTACTACTAGAATCCTTTGTGTGATGGATTTTTAGCAAGATCCTTCACCAACAAATTTTAAGTCCACACTCACAAGGCCCAAAAATCTGTCTATGCATCACGTTGAAATTAAATTCATGCTATGAAATCGTAATTCACAAGATTTTAAATCCATTGTCACAAGTGGTGTGATGTTATTTTGTCCTGTTTTCCAATGCTATGAAGTTCAGAACATGTTATGTGTTTTTGTAAGTGCTTATAGAGGAATTTGAATTTCTAGTTTCATTGTTAAAGGAGGGTCAATTTTTTAGAACAGATATTCACATTTTTGTGATGTATAAATGATATCTGCCTCTATATACAACATATTGATGTACTGGCCTGATGATTTCTCTTTTATTTTGCAGGATTATGAGCCTATTGGCACGACACCAACCAGGTCTGAGCCAGACATCCCATGCAAGGCTACTATCGAGTCCCTACGAGCCATGCCAATGGAGGCGCTTCTAGAGGAGTTTCGGGAAAACCATTCATATGAATCATCTGAAGTAAAGGAACCAAAGCCATCTCTCATTCCTCGTTCGCCCTTCTCACAAATCAACCAATAGAGCTGTGGTCTCATTTCATCTGCACAGATGACATTAGCTGTTTTGTATTTGTATTATTGGTGTCTCTGGGATTACCATTTGAAACGAATAGTATGCTGCTATTGGTGGGAGTTTGTGGGCGGGTGGTGGTGGCTGGCTAACATAATGTTGTTTGTGTAGAGTGTAACAGGGATCATGAATTTGAATAAATCCCTACTTGGGATTTTTTAGCAATCTGTAGATTATCAAGGTTGTAAATTGAGGGAATTCTCCACAGGGTTCCTTTTAAATTGTTTTATTCCATGATCTGCTGAGGGATATGTAATGTAGTGAAAGAATATGTTTGATTATTGGAAGGAGAAATACAATTTATTGTGTTTTGGAATTAGAGAGGTGTTCATGGGTAGGGATGTCAGTAGATCGAAGCTAGGGCGGGGGGTGTAGTCTCCATCCCCATACCCGCTTAAAAAAATTCTGTCTATCCTCGGTTCACCCCTGTTAATGAGTATAGTTTACATTTTCATTTCCGTTCACGAGTAAATTTTTAATTTCCACTCCCGTTTCCGATTCCCTTGTATTTGCTCAAGCCCAAACTTAAGTTCAAGTTCAAGTTAACATAATTCAAAATTTTAATAAATTCAACATTTTAAATAAATTAACAATATTCTAAATAATTTAAATAGTCCAAAATTTTAGATGGTTCGAACAAGAAATGGCATTAGGGATGATAGTGCACCATATATGAGGATACCTGTATAACTCGTCCTATTTGGACCGGGGATGGACTGTGAAGACCCTGCCCCATTACCGGGACCCTGTCTTCCAAGGGCAATCCTCCCATTACCGGGATATACCGCCCTCCACCAAAGGATTTCGGCTGACCTGCGGGACAAACCCCCACAGTAGCCTTTACCTCTGTCCCACATCGGGAAAGAGTCGTCTCCCCACCCCCATATAAGCCGAAGCACCATATGAGAGCAGTACCCAAGTCCTAATTAAACATATTTACTATAACTACCAATTTAGAAATATGATAATCAAACTAAAAAGTGACATTGTTATATGGTAATCTTATCAACTTTTTTCTCTGATTATTCTTTTTTTTTTAATTTGTACTCACTAATTGAAACTGTTAAGAGTTTGGATTAACCATGTTCTAAAAACAGATAAGAGAGAGTAAGATAGTTTTGTATTTCATCGTGAGTAGAAAATGTGGTGAATGGAGGTTGCTGAGTTCCTCTGCTAGAGTGAACTGAGAAATGAGAAGAATTATTGAATTAGCAAAATTTTAAATTTTCATCTTTTAACACTTTATGACTATAATATGAATTGTAATAACAAACATTTTTTTAGGAAATTTTAAGTGTAGTGCTATCGTTTTTTTAGTTTAATTTGATTTTCCTTTTCTTTCTTTCTCTCTAATAGTTCTGTTTCTCTTTTTGTGGTTTAATGACACTTTAAATAGAATACTATATTATTTTGACTTTTACCATTTTGTAATCTACATTATGTTGTGTTAGACTATGTTAGAATGTTGTTGGATTATTTAAAATATTGAATTTATGTAGAATTTTGAATTATGCTACTTGGATTTGGGCTTAGGTAGGTACGGGGGAAGCGGGGATAGGGACGGGGATTAGAAATTTACCTGCGGACGGAGATTGAGATGAAAATTATATCTGTTAATGGGAGTGGATTGGGGATCAATAAAGTTTTTTTAAGCTGGTACGAGAATAAAGATTACACTCTCCGCCCGCTCTTCGGTCCATTAACATCCCTAAATATAATAATAAATTACTACAACCATACTTAAAACATCATTTTCCTTTTTCCCTGGGAAAGGAGAATGGGGGAATTTGGGTCATATAAACTGAAAATAACCATAACAACAGGTTCTAAAAAATTAGCAAGCAAAACAACAGATTTGTAAAGTTATCTTTTTATTGATTATCTTATATTAAAAATTTCGAAAGAGATGCTCTGCCTGGTCCAATGTGCAAGGTTTGCAAGGATTATGTATAATTTGAGTTTACGGTATAACCGCGAATTCAAAGGGAATGGGGTTGGGATGATTTTCGGTTATCAAAACAAAACCTAAAATGTTCTGGTAAAATTAAATGGATGAGTTAAGGCAGCTAACACGTATTGTATAAAGCTTTTGACAATGGCTGCGCAGAAAGTAGTAAAGACACAAGATCAAGTTCTTGGCACTATGATATGATATATAAGTTTATTTTGGAAAAGGGGATACAACACATATTGATCTGATTTTTTATCAGCAACAAGATCATGTTTCATTAATAGTTTCAAAGTCATACATGACTGGAGAGTAAGTTAAGGCATTAACTTTCGAGTATTTTTATTTATATATATATTTTTAATAGGTATAGCGGGGTAGGGGCGGGAGTAAGGGTAAGTCCATCCCTGCCTTTATTTTCGCATGAGTTTATACGGGTATTCCTGTATACGTCAACCGTTTAATATATATAGTCTATCTCCGGTCTAAAAATAATAGATTTGAACGAATACTCATTTTTCTCTTTTGGCTGGCTAAGCTTGTACCATGGAATTGGTGGGCTTGGCTTGGCCGGGTATTGGGTCAGGGATTATGTGCCACATCTTAGCCCATGGCCATAGTTATTACTGTTGACTAGGCTGGGCCAACTTATGGGTTTGTCCTTTTCATTAAAAAATTAAAAATAATTTGTGTCTGATGCAATATGAATTTTGATAAGAATATTAGTGACTGTTAGATGAACCTATTTAATACTATTGGATAGACTTATAGATAGTACGAATATATTTTATAAGTCATAATTTATGTCTTAAAAGTTTGTAAGTTACAAATTATGACTTGTGTAACTTACAATTTTGTAATTTGTAACTAATTATATCCGGTCTAGCTCGACCAGTATAATTACCTCATATAATCATTGTTGTAATTATTTTTTTTTATTTTCTAGTGTATGATTTATTCGATTAATTGACTTAACGATTAAACTATTGACCTATTGATTAGGTTTCCTTGTCAGGTTGATATTGAGATTGAGCTTAGTAAATATGAGCATTAGTAGACATTGAATTACTTGAAGGACTTTAAACACAATCTTCTGGACTTAGAATAGTGTTTAATCAAGAAGATCCGAATGCCTTTTTTACTGTCCTTAGAGCACAAGCTCTTTGGTATGAGGTAAGTTCTTGTGACTCTCTTCCTCCAAACTGGACCTTCTTCAGACACAAATCGAAGGGGCATTCGAAATTCCCAATTCAACTCTGGACTCAAAGTAAGCTGCGATGGAGCCTTCGAGGGGGAAATGCTACGGTGGGAATAATTGTAAGAGATACCAATGGGAAGATAGTAGATGACATAGCCAAGCACATACCTGTCATATCGAGCATATACTCTGACTAAGCATTGTGGCAAGCATATATACTAGCATGTACACTTCACCTACATCAGACTATTTTAGAGAGTGATAATACTGAAGTGATCAGACTTAGCTCGACCGAAAGAGTAACTCCTTCAGAAGTCTGCACTATTTTCAAAGACATTAAGTTTGTTGGAAGAGATCTTACCTTAAAGTTTCTACCCAAGTTGAGAGCCCATAACAGGACAGGTTATTGGGTGGCAGCATCTGTTGTGAGTAATTCTCTAGCGTTGGGTTGGGTCAGTTGTCCTCCCCTGAGCTTATCAAATTAGTTCCTTCTAATATTGAAAAAGTTTGGATCTGTTTAGTATGTTGCTGTTGTTACTACTGCTCTCATGTTCAAATACAAACACCAAAGCTTCTTTATTGCTAACATTAACAATAAGAAACTTGGCTTCTTCTCAGCTTCCTGTGCTACATCCATGGTGGAACCCATAATCCTACCTCGACTTCATCAAGAAACGTTCTCAAACCACAACACCCACGTGGCAGAAACGTTAAAATTTCAATTTTCACGTACTTTTGACCCAAAATACTACCTCTCTACGCTACAGAACTGTGTAACTCTTTCCCATATCCGACAAGTTCATGCCCAAGTGGCCGCCAATGGAATGCTTAGAGACCTTATAGTTTCCAACAAGCTTCTTTATGTATACACTCAGCATAGGCATTTAACTGATGCTTATGCTTTGTTTGACGGGATGAGTGAGAGAGACCCATTTTTTTGGAGTGTTATGGTGGGGGGGTTTTCCAAAATCGATGATTATAGGATTTGTTTTAGGACATTTAGGGAGTATATAAGATCCGGGCAACGACCCGATAATTTTACTTTGCCTTTTGTGATAAGGGCTTGTAGGGATACAATGGACCTCCAAATGGGTAGATTGATTCATGACATTGTGTACAAACTAGGGTTGCATTCGGATCGTTTTGTGTCCGCGGCTTTGGTAGACATGTATGCAAAATGTAAGGTTATTGATGATGCGAAGCAGTTGTTTGATAAAATGCTCAATAGGGACCTTGTGACTTGGACTGTCATGATTGGGGGCTATAGTGAGTGTGGGAATGCTAACACGGCGTTGGGTTTGTTTGATCGGATGAGGAACGAAGGGGTTGTACCAGATAAGGTAGCAATGGTGAATGTTGTTAATGCCTGTGCAAAGTGGGGGGCTATGCATAAGGCTACATTTGTACACGATTATATATGGAGAAATAATTTTTCGTTGGATGTGATATTGGGGACGGCCATGATTGATATGTATGCTAAGTCTAGAAGCTTTGATTTTGCTAGAGAGATTTTTGATAGGATGACCGAAAAGAATTGATGGGACTTTTCTGAAATACCCTATGATGAAGACACGTGTTCTCGGTTTTACTAAAACGCTGTTGCTAAGATCAAGCACCATCGGCGCACGAATGTCCTCGCCCCCGAGGTACCGTCATATAGGATCATGCATTTCAGTATATTTTACAACCGACACGTGGCCTCGGTCTGATATGTACCTCGGTCGGCATACCTCCCTCGGTCCCCGAGATGAGCCTTTCCTCGGTGCCGAGAGGTACCCCGTCCTGGACGCTTCCTCTACTCCAGGATAAGCTATTGACGTACAGGTCATTAGCCTAGGCTAGTCTAGGCTATTCATCATGACCTCGTCTTACACAAACAATGTCAGAACGTACTGGAATACAGAGATCACAGCCAATAGGGGACGGACGTGTGGCATATGATATCACATCAAAGACAGACAAACCGCATGCCGTTGCTGACACGCGACTTGGGAAAACAAACAATTAATTGCACCATTCCCTTGATGAGACCGCATTCAATGCGGTAAGGTTCGGAAATGAAAGGCAATAAATGCTCCTAATACAGAGCATTTATTGCATCCTCCCCGAGAGGAGCACATTGTACCGTCGGCATCCCGATGACCCAACATTGATTGCTCGGGACCCCGAGCAGTTAATTAGAGAAGACATTCCTCATCAGAATCAATGCGCACGCTACCTGTGCCTAATGATCACCTACTGACCACACTGACAACAATCATGAGCTTTTAAGGTATAAATACTCCTTGCAAAAGGCAAAGCGGGTATGCAACAAAAAAACTCTCGACTACAATACATTCTCAGTGTTTTCTCCTTTCTCTCTCTTTCTCAAAGACTGACTAGATCGTCGGAGGGGATACGCCGAAAAACACTCCGGCGCCCTTCTAACTTGTTCTTCTTTGTTCCAGGAACCTCTCTTAGCCTTACTGGATCGTTCTTCCGTTCCCAGGACTTCTCATTGCCGTTCCAGGTTACCACCGTACCTTGCAGGCTGTTCCAAGCAGCGTGTTTGGTCGCTCAACCGGCTCACTCGAGCTCACCAAGGGAGAGATCTGTTCTCGTTTTTTATATTGTGCAGGATCTTGCACGCACAATCTGGCGCCGTCTGTGGGAAACGACTAGTTTTCCTAGTTTTTTCTCTATAAAGAACAGTGACCATGGTGAACACTCGACAGAAAGGGAAAGGACCCCACCAAAGAAGTCTCGAGTTACAAGCTCCCTGTCATCATGGAGGAAGGGATCACACCAACACGAATAAAAGTGCCTCTACTCGGTCAAGAGGGGTTACCCCTCAAACCAGTATGGGAATCAGGTCAGGGGGATCAGCCCCCTTGGCTCGTCAGCTGGCGGAGGTGATTGAAGAAAAATTTGGTGATAGATTACGTCAGCTGGAAAAGGACAATGTAAACGTCCTAAGCCGGCTCGACGAGTTTGTCGCCTCTGGCGGGGGGTCTAGGGATTCATTCCTTTCCCGTGGGCTTCCCGCCCGGGAGGAGGAAACGAAGGACCTAAGAAATCAACTAAACAACAAAGCAGAAAGCTCTAGGGCCCCAAAGCGACCTAGAGCCGGCGAGCATCATCATGACAACCTTTCAAGGAAAGCAAGGCCATTGGCCCTGGACGACCTCCGGCGAGGTTTGTCTAGACGGAGGAAGGGAGATGAATCCGAGGAGGACTCAACCCAATCCACACGACGCCCGAAAAATGAGGGGCTTACCGACGAACTCAAGGACTTCAGAAGGCATCCCGCCAGGGAAGAAGTTGATCTCAGAGCCCGATTAGACACCAGGAGAAAGGGTAAGGCTGTCCAGGATGAGGCCGAGGACGAAGTCATGCAAACACCCTTTATGAGGGAGATCAGTGAGATGGAGATCTCAAAAAATTTGTCGTGCCTCGGTTCAAAACCTATGACGGGCGGTCCGATCCCGAAGCCCATATCAGGCAATACAAGCAGATGATGTCCCTCTATCATTCGGACCAACGGTTTTTTGCCGAGTGTTTCCTATGAGCTTGGGGGACTCTGCGATGAAGTGGTTCGAGGCGCTTCCTCCCAACAGTATTGGGTCCTGGAAGGAATTGACTAGGCAGTTCCTGGCTCGATTCATTACGGGGAGTAAGCGCCCTAAAGACATTGGATCATTGCTGACCCTCAGACGGAGGGAATCCGAGACTCTTCGCCAGTACGCCATCCGATACTGGGAAGAAGTTAATGAGATAGAAGGCTGCTCGGAGGTCATGGCAGCAGCATCTTTCCGGCTCGGCTTGGCAAGGGACACGGACCTGTACCGATCCCTGACCAAGAAGACTCCCTCGGATATGGGGGAACTAATGGCCCGGATAAACAAGTACTCGAGGGTTGAGGACGAGATGGGAAGCAGTAAAGGCCGAGCCCTCCAATCTAAAAGAAAGGAGAAGGAGCGGGAAGATATACCCCGAAAGGGATTGCTACCCCCTCCAGGGGGTTCGTCCAGAGGAGTTCACACTGTTTTCAAGGAACCCATCTTCAAGTTGCTCCATAAAATCAAGAACGAGCCGTTCTTCAAATGGCCGCCCAGGATGCAGGGCGACCCCTCCACCCGTGATCAAAGGGTTAGGTGTTCCTATCACCAGGATTTCGGGCATCGCACCGAAAGCTGCAGGGTGTTCAAATCGTTCTTGGAAAGCTTGGTCCGAGACGGACATTTGAAAGAGTACATAGAGCCCAGGCCAGAAGAGAGACGAGCCCTTGCCCCGACCGAGGAACCGGACAACATCATAGATGTCATTCATATATGTCCCCTGGATCGCCCCACGTCCAAGGAACTCGAGTCCGACCTCAAGAGGGTAGCTTTTACGAGGAAGGTAGCCGAGGGTGATGTAGGGCCACCAAGTAAAAGGGCCAGGACGGGTGAGCTTGGCATTACATTCTCCGACGCGGATTTGACAGGCGTAGTGACTCCCCATAACGACGCCCTTGTCTTGACCCTAAGGATAGGGAAATTCGATGTCAAAAGAATTTTGATAGACTCTGGAAGCTCCTCGGAGGTGATGTACTTCGAAACTTTGAAACGGATGGGTTTTGGCCCCAAAGACCTCACCAAAGTCAGGACACCCCTCATCGGGTTCAACGGCTCATTCGCCCTGCCCGTGGGGAAAATCACATTGCCAGTTGCCACTGGTCCCTTTATCATCGACACCGAGTTTGTTGTGATCGATACGGACTCTCCCTACAACGTGATTATGGGGCGAACATGGCTGCATGCGTTGGGAGCGGTGCACTCCACTTTCCACCAGAAATTAAAATTCGCCACGCCAGAAGGTATCATGGAGATCCGGGGGGACCAAGCTTCCGCGAAAAACTGTTTTTATTCCGCCGTTCGAGCCGGGGCGTCCAGCCAGGAGAAGGGGCGAGCACCGGAAGAGATTATGGAAAAATAGCAATTACAGTCCGGGCGTCCAGGAATGGATGACCCCCGGATAGACCCAACTGAGCGGTCAGTGGAAGACCTCCGGAAGGTGCCCTTGATAGAAGGAGAAGAAGAGAGGTATTTCCTAGTTGGAACCTCGATGCCCACAGCCGAACAAGAGGAGATGATCAAGTTCCTAAGGGGGAATACAGACGTGTTCGCGTGGAACGAGATGGAAATGACGGGGGTAGACCCCGAGATAATCACACACAGGCTGCATGTCGACCCGTCGCACAAGCCAGTCAAACAGAGGCCACGACGCATGGCCCCGCATCACACCAACGCGGTCAACGAGAAATCGACAAACTCCTGAAGGCCGACGCAATTCGAGAGATACAATTCCCAGAATGGCTATCTAATACGGTGTGCGCAAAGAAGAAAGGGGGGAAATGGCGTGTCTGCGTAGACTTTACAGATCTGAACAAGGCATGCCCCAAGGATGACTACCCCCTGCCAAAGGTGGACCAGCTGGTAGATGCCACAGCCGGATATGAACGAATGGACTTCCTGGATGCCCGAGCAGGATATCATCAGATCCCTCTCTATGCCCCGGATCAAGAAAAGACGGCGTTTATCACTCCGAAGGGAGTTTACTGTTACAAAGTGATGCCGTTTGGACTAAAGAACGCTGGGGCAACGTACCAAAGACTGATGAATCGGATGTTCAAAAAGCAGATCGGCAACACCATGGAGGTCTACATAGATGATATGCTGGTAAAGAGCAAACGGAGTTGTGATCATCTGACAGATTTGGCGGATACCTTCTCCACCCTCAGGGAGTATGGGCTGAAGCTGAATGCGGCAAAGTGCGTTTTTGGAGTGGAATCAGGTAAATTCCTCGGATACCTGGTTAGTCAACGGGAATCGAAGCCAACCCAGATCAGATTCAAGCGATCCTGGACATCCGGAGCCCCCGCACTGTCCGAGAAGTCCAGAAACTCACAGGGATGCTGGCTGCACTTAACCGTTTCGTCTCACGCTCCTCGGATAAATGCAAACCCTTCTTTGGAGCAATCAAGAGTGCTGGAAAGAATATGTGGAGCCAGGGGTGCGAGGACGCCCTGGCTGGAATCAAAGAATACCTAAGGACTCTTCCAACCCTGTCAGTCCCCATCCAGGGGGAGATGCTGTTCCTGTACTTGGCAGTTTCTGAGTTTGCGGTAAGCGGGGTACTTATCCGTGAGCATGAGCACCGCCAGAAGCCGATTTACTATATAAGCAAGGCACTCCTGGACGCAGAGACAAGATATCTACCCCTGGAGAAACTGGCTCTGTCCTGGTCACCACTGCAAGGAAACTGCGGCATTATTTCCAGGCGCACCCAATCACTGTCCTGACCGATCAGCCCTTGAAAGCAATCTTGAGGAAAGCGGAACTCTCCGGAAGGATTTCCAAGTGGGCAGTAGAGTTGGGGGAGCACGACATTCATTTCAAACCCCGAACTGCGATAAAAGGTCAAATATTGGCAGACTTCATAGCTGAGTTT